ACGCTGACGCTGCTCCAGCACGGCGCCGACCCAACGTCAGCATCAGCACCAGCAACGAGCCCAAGATCTGCCACTCGCAGTCGTCGGTGCTGAGAAGTCGTCACACCAGGTGCTCTACTTCTACATCCAGCGGCTGATCCGGCGAGAGGAGTTGCTGCTCGATCCGGAGCGCCGCTTCGAGCGGATCATCCGGCTCTTACTACCTATGCATGGACCACAGTGTGTTGTACTCGTGTCTGCGGCTGCTGCACACGCAGGCCACGCTGGCGCCCATTAAGTGGCAGCTGGCCAGCGCTCTGCGCGCTGCAGACCAACCCGCGGACTCTGAAGCAGATCTGCCGCGTCTCGATCTACGGTGCGCTGCGGCGCCGGCCCGGTCCCAGCGTCAACAAACTGCCGCTGCCCTCGCAGCTCAGGAGTACCTCCTCAACTTCGAGTCCTAGTGGCCGGCGGCGGTGTGCTCCGATCTTTCGCGGCGGCGGCGGCGCCGGCGGGGCCGGGCGAGCGGGGACAGTGCCCGTGCCCTGTGCCCTCCGTGGCCCCGGGCAGGCGCAGCGGCCAACCCGGCGGCGACCGGCGCGAAACCCGCAGCTGAGGCGGCGCGGGGACGGCACTGCGTTGTCGGCGCTGGGCGGGGCGTTGCCGGTTGTTACCTTACGAGCTGTGTGCGTTGTGTGTAGGCGCGCGCGTGTTGGAGAGAGAGAGAGAGAGAGAGAGGAGAGAGAGGAGAGAGAGAGAGAGGGAGAGAAGAGAGGAGAGAGAGAGAGAGAGAGAGGAGAAGAGAGAGAGAGAGAGAGAGAGAGAGAGGAGAGAGAGAGAGAGGAGGAGAGAGAGAGAGAGAGAGAGAGAGGAGAGAGGAGAGAGAGAGAGAGAGAGAGAGAGAGAGAGAGAGAGAGAAGAGAGAGAGAGAGAGAGAGAGAAGAGAAGAGAGAGAGAGAGGAGAGAGAGAGAGAGAGAGAGAGAGAGAGAGAGAGAGAGAGGAGAGAGAGCGGGGTCGCGCGCGTGCGCCAGTGTGATGGGCGTGGTTGCCTTTCTCCGGCAGGTCTCTCCCGGCCGCCGCCAGAGGGCGGGCGGCCGCTCCCCGGTCCCGAGCGGCGCTCGGCCGCGCGCCGGCACCGCCCGGGCGGGGGAGTCGGGAGCGGACCGTGCGGTGGAGCGAAGGGATTTTCAACTAATCAGTATTTGATTAAGAGGCTTGTATTGAGCTTTGTTGCTCAGTCGGCTGGGCGTTGCCAGCCGGCGGTCGCCGCTCAGTCCTGACTGCCATCTCGCGGGTACTGAGCCGGGGTCGTCGGCGGGTGAGGCTTGCGTCCCGTGCTCCAGACGGTTGTGTTTGAGCTTTAATAGCCCGCTTGTCGACCTACCCAAATGTCCTGAGGATTTATCAATGTACCTGCTGGATTGTGTGTTAACGTTTCCTCCGTTGTAATTTTGGTAGTTTTGTAGGATAGAATTAAAACATATGAGTCGCCCCGGCCCCGCCCGGGGGCGCTGAAGGCGAGTTCACTACTCCCTGCCCTGTTCTTTCAGTTGTACTGACGGCTGGTGAGTGTGCGTGGCTGTGTGTGTGTGCGTGTGTGTGTGGTTTCTCATGTGGGTCACTTCTCGCGAGTGTATGGCATCGGTAAGCTTAAGCTTTGATGAGGATATTATTGTTGAGTCTGCTCGCGGCCTGCCGCGGCGGGCCGCGACAGTCTGGGTGTTCCCGTTGTTTACGTAATCTCACGCGGGCGGGCGGCGGGCGGTGAAGCCGCCTCAGTCAGAGCGCTCCCGAGGGCAGCTTCGCGGGCCGCGCCCGCTCCGGCCGTGCACGTGTGGCCGTCTGGTCAAACTTAATATTATGATTTGTTAAATATACCCGGCTGAGGCGCCTGTGTCTGGCGGCGGGGATCGCGGCCGCGGCTCTGGCGATGTTGGCACGATCGCATCACTTGACTTGTGCACATTGAGAGCGGCACGTTGATGTAGCTGGCGCTTCGACGGCTCGCGTGTCACTGTCCTCGACAGCCGCGACTGTCCACTAGCACAGCGAACGTACAACAACCAGCACCGTACATTCGTGTATTAACCAAGGCACCGGTCCATATATTATACAAAAAACAAAACAATGCGAGTAGCACGCGCGACCATGGAATTGAAGTCATTCGACCCATACGATCGCGCAGTATTTTACAACTAGCTCTGCGCTGCGCTTTGACAGCGACCAGTGCCGTGGCCATCTGCACCAGCGGTTTGGGCCCGAGACGGCCGGACACGGCAGATCAGCCCCTGGAGCTGCCGCCCGACAGCGCGGCGAGCTGTTCTCGGCCTTGTAACGCCCCAGCGGCCGCACCGGGCGGCGGCCTCGCTCCGACGGCGACCGTGTCCAGCAGCGGCGCGCGTGGCCGCGACCGAAGTTCGCCGCGAGTCGCGACCCGGCCCGCGGCTCCGCACCCTGCTGGGGGCAGTCCGGGTCCGTCTCGTGCTGTCCCGGTGTGGCCCGGGCTCGTGAGCACCTACCGGCCGTCCACCTGCGCGTCCCGGGTCAGCACCGAGCTCTCGAAGCGCACCATGAACGTCGTGCCCTTGTGCCAGTGGGCCGTCACCTTGGCCCGCTGGAACGGCGGGGCGGGACAAGCTGGTCAGAGGACGCGCTCCGACCACCGGCCTCAACATGCGGGCATTGTTAACCGGCCGGAGGAGGATGATTTATAAAGGTCATCAGACCTGGTTTACATGATGGCAGAGGCCTGATGGAAACTGATTTACGCGACACAGCAGCACGATGGACACAGGAACACTGCTGACTGATCACGTATGTAATACGCCGCGTGTCATCCACACGGGTGCCATTAACATTCTGTTGGGTGGGCCACTGCCCGCCGCCCCCCCCCCCCCCCTCCCAATGTCCAATCTGACGTCTCATCCCCAACTTTTGCCCCAACCACCAACTTTATGAAGCACATGTAAGAAATGAGCAAAAGAATCTCGAAATTATATCAAAATTAAGGAAGACTGTAAAAGGTACAGGAACCAAAGGGAGTGGAAACTCATATAATGCCCCGTTTCGTGCATTTGACTGTCGGCCACACTTTTCAAGCTCCGCGGTTGTACCGCGTTTACTTGCGCTTCTTCCTGTTTTCCTGCATGCTGGATATTTTTAACTACACGATTTATACTTATTGTTGACCATGGTCGAGTTTTGTGCTATTGTGGGGGTGTTTTGAAATTATTCAGCGCTGGTTCAGGCTGTACGGACCAGAGCAAGTTGCGTATTTTGCTACAACGTCTCATGAGAAAATGAAAAAGTAGTTGAGTATTTGCACCCAAACAACGTGGCCGTCATAAGTCGCCTATATTCGGAGGAACCCTTGAAATGTGTCAACCTTCACTCCGACATGAATATTCGATGAAACAGCCGCGAAAACCTGACGATCGACGCCAGCTGACTTCACCGACAGCGGTGTTCGTCCGACCATGACCACCAACACCAGCTGTGTCAACCACGCCTAATGGGAGTGATGCGCCTGCATCCCGCCTCGCGGCATCAGCCGAGACTTCCATGGCAGACATTAGTCACGCAAATCGATTTACACTCATTTGCTCCTCTTGCTCCCGAAGCCAGCCGTCCAACAACGTCTGAACCCACATAACATCGACCCTACGTCGGTTGCTGACGTCTGGTTTCGACAATCGACGCCAAACAAAATCATAATGGTGTCCAACGACAACATCTTTCGCCCAGACCGGGTAAGCTAACGAATTAGACCACGCTGCATTTTCCTTTTTTGTTGGAGGGGGGGGGGGGGAATCCAAATCTATAGCGTCGTTGAGAGGGAATTTGGCGAAATCCGGGAAGTGTCCAGTTTTTAGTGCACTTGGTGTGAAGTTTTCCCCGATCGGCCTCACCAATCCTATATTGCGAAAGTATACTCCAATGGTGCCGTCTTAACGACCGTGGCACGCGAAAGCTTCGTCACCAGATCATACCCCAGGTCAGGTCTAGGACATAGGGAAAATTTCGCAAGCAGAGGCAGGGCTGAGATCTGCGACTTACATTGGCCAGGACCCTTTAGTCAATCAGTGGCTCCTGTGTCGGTCAGGGGACCACAGTGCCTGACACGGATCCGGTATTGACAAAGAGCTCGAGTCGGCCTGGGACAGTGTTAGAGGGGCCTGCAGAGAAGCCGAAGGGCCCCTCGGGACCACGATCCAGTGCCCGATTGGAAGGTACGAAGGCGGGGCTGGGCCATCAAATATCTCGGAGGTCCTCTCGCACCGATTAGGGACACCCTGGTCTCTATTTCGGCCGAATATCACCGACACTGAACAGTCGGCCCGCATCGGTCTGAGCCCTGATGGCCATTATTCAGCCATTATCGGGCAGGGACAAGGTCGGCATCTGCGATTCGAATAAGTAGGGAACACTGAAGCAATGAGGGTTCTTCGTTTGTCAGGGCCCACAAAGTCTGAAAAAGGGCTCAATGTTTGCAAGGGGCCTCGTGTCGGCCAGGGCAACATTTGCTAGACAGGGACAGGGACAAAAGCCAGAAATCCCCGAAAGCCAGAGGCCTCTTGCGTTGGTCGAGGCTCTCTAGCAATGAAAAAGGAAATGAGAGTTTATGTGAGCCCGCAATGTGACAAAGGAAAGCCCTTTGTCAGGCAGGGCCCCGGTACCGAAACGAAGGGCTCCCCATTCCATTTCAGCCAGATTATTGAACATCGGCGACGGTAAGGGACCTTTTGCATCAATGAGGGCCCTCCGTTCACCTGGGGACAAATGGTCCGGTCAGGGGGCCTCCAGCGTCAGGCAGGCAGCCGACGTATGATGTGTCCCTGTAGGGGCTTGCACATCGAAAGGGATCCCACCCCTGTGTCATCGGCACGGCAGCCGGCAGGCACCCCACGCTGTAACCGAATGAACCTGAAGCCCCTGACCGAGACATAGAATATGCCCCCTATCGGCCTGCCTACTAGATCTCCTGCTCCGAAAAGGTGCGGGGTTTCCTCAGTGTTTAATAGGGCGGATCACAGTGGGGTAAACAGTGAAATGGCCAAAAGAAACGAGGCGTCCATCCTTGCTCTGGATCAGCATGTGAAACAAATCACGTAAACAGTTTTGAGTCTACGCGTTCACAAACTCAGGAACAAAAACACCGATCGCCGCGGTTGCGGTTCTATGAGACCGAGCGGCGTTGAGCCCTGCAGCTAACACCGGGGCGTGGTGCCTGGCGCCCCAGTACAGTCATCGTGAAACAATGCTGCCAAAAGTTTTTTTAATCAAAACGTGTCGTTCAAAATTTGGACTGCAGCGTATATCTAACCTGTCGAATTTTGAGCATGTTCTCTAAAAAACAATAAACAGCGACAGTATCACGAAAATAGATATTCTGCCTTGCTTTGTCTAGTTTAACCATCGAATTCTAGTACAGGTGCGCAGTGCTGCAAATGCTAATTAGCTTCTATTACATTGCACGAGTAAAACATACTCCCGGAACACTTTATAAGCGTTCCAGTTTACATCCTAAAGGGTTTGAGGTATTTTTCCAGCAGCGTTGCCGTTTGTGTCCGCCCGCTGGCCATCGCCCAGCATGCGGTGCAGAACCGACACCGCGCGGTCTCCGGAGACTGCAACGCCCGACGCCAGGTTTTTGTTGAAAGACATGCGAGCGCGCAGGGCCAAAGCTTTGGTGCGTAATTCCTTCACTACTCAATTCTGGACGACCGAGATTATTCTGAGACCAAACTATCTTGGTGTGAATGCAAATTTACGACGCTGTCTCGATCTAAGATCTACGTTCACGATGTTCCTGTACAACCCAGAACAATTCCAGCACAGCCTCTGAGTGCTATCGGATTAGGAAGTCTACTGAAACGTTATCAAATCGATAGCACATGTGGTTTATTAAATGCAATGATTTAACGCCTACTTATTTCAGTTTCACGGCTTCAAAATAAAAATAGAGTTACATCCATCGGTGCCTCCTGCCTTTTAGGGACATGGCTCCCCTCCAGATCAAACGGCCATATCCGGTGAGTTTTATTATTGGATGGGGCCTTCCGCCATGGGGAAGGGGCTTGGTCAACCATGTGTACCAGCCCCCAAGTACCAAGACTCCGGCTACGCCCCTGCGTGGGTGAGCTCTTGAGCACCGACTGTACACATGTCAGTTTAATCTCATGGTAGCTGAAGAGCCAGCTCAACTCGCAACGCTGTTACGATCAACCTGCATTGCGCATGACACTGCTATGGCGGGTGTTTCATTTTCCCACGTTCGAAGTGAGAGGGGTAAAAGTCGCTTCCCCTTTAGAGGTACAACAGCTCGGAACAGTGTCCTCCAGACGTGCAGCTGGCTCGTCATTTGTATTTATCGAAAATATCGGGAAAATGGATTATCAACAGGAGGGTATCTGCCTAAGTGTATTTGGGAAATACTGAAGATCACGTTCTTAAATTATGTTTTGAGTTAAACATTAGCAGCTATAAACATCAATTCGTTAACGTTAATCCTCACTAAAATGCAATGTTTTATCGATGCAATTTTGGTGTGTCGAGAACCTTCATATAAATGGGTCATGGTAGCCACATATAATGCTGACACTATGCATATGTAATGGATAACCAGATCATAAGGCACGAAGCCCGAGAAGTGTTTGGACCTGTTCCTTCATGATGACTGCCACGAATCTGGCCCATCATTTTAAGGAATCGACACCCATGCATCGACGTGTATGACTTTTCATGAGCAAAGGCCACTTGATAAAACACGGCAGATTGATGAGGATGAGGATATCCAAACAGCGCATTGAGCACTTTCAAGTCGAAACATTTAATGCCATTGCATAGCGGATCGCTTTAAACAAAACAATCGTCACCTCACACGCGAAGCACTGAAAGCAAGGAATCCCTATCACCGCTGGCGCATAAATTAGGGCGAAGGGAAGGAGGCCTGCTTCCCTCCCTGAGGCTTCGCGCACCGCCCCTCCCCCGGGAGGCGACAATGACTTTAACGCTTTCAGGGGCCGTCCCCGTCCACCACGCCATTGGTTTGACTCCCCCCAGTATGACAGTTCCCCTGCCCTGCCAACGGGCTCGGACGACTTCGCTCCGTGCCGGCACTCACGAAGTTTGAGCCGCACAACACGGCCTCGATCATGCCAGCGACGAATGCGGCGCAGTTCAGGCTGCCCTTGTCCTTGGGCACCGAGATGAAGGTGCTGACCAGCGGCTCCTTCTCGATGATGTAGTACATGCGCTCGTCGTCATTGGCGTGCTCCAGCTTGTCCGCCTCCTTGCCGAACATGGTCTGCGGAGGGTGTGGGCACAGGGGCGTCACCGGTCGGGCCGGGCCACGGCGCCGACGGCGACGGCGGACGGTGTGGGCACGGGGACGTCACCGGTCGGGCCAGGCCACGGCGCCGACGGCGACGGCGCGCGGCGGAGGCACGTGCTGCCCAGTGTACCTTCGGCTGCGGGGTGGCGGCACGTCACAAGCTCAGGTGGTGGATCGGCGGCGCGGTGAATCGTACCGTTGCGAAGTGCCGTTGCGAAGCGATGATTTGTGGGGGAAAACATGGGAGTGCTGCAGCTGCACTGGTCGCTTTTGAAACGCTATAGACTACACAGTGAAGTGTGGGACCGAGGACTTTGTAGCGCCTATAGCTCTGTATCATCGACAGAACAGAACTGGCGCATAGGACGTGAAGTGTCGCCAGTTGTATCAAACCAACATCCGAAGGTTCTCAGATAAGATCTTCCATTAACAGAGGGCCACGGCCTGTCCAGAAAGATCGCAAGCGTTGTGCGGAGCCCTACCTTCCAGAAGGTGCCCTTAATAAATAGCAGTATGTTCAGTATCTTGGTCTCCCGCTTGAGATTCCGCTCTCGAACAACGATGAGGTCGAGCATCCGGATACCCACGTGATACCCCATCTCCGCCAGCCTGCGGAAACGCGCGTGTTTGTTACCGTCAAAGCAAAGCAACAGTGGCGTATCGGTGGTCCACACCAGAGCTCATAGAGAGCGTTCAACCGCCGCCTTGGAGGTGGCGTCGTGGCTATCTGAGCCGGAGTTCTTGCACCGTAACTCATAGGACAGGGCACGTATACGCTATAATTTTTTAAAGATGGGAAAAACAGATGATGAGAACGAGTTCTTTTAAACATCAACCAAGACAGAACATGCATTATTTTCCGTGCATTCATGAAGAAATCTGGCTTTTGCTCATTAAATGTAAAGACACAGCTGACGAATAATACACTTTCCAGTTATAGCACACTTTGCAGCCATAGTACACTTTGCACGTCATTGGCATTTACCCCAATCCATGGAAGCAGACCCAATAATGTTGTCTGTTTACACATGAATGCATGCCTCAGCAAAAACATCAGCCATTGCATAGTTAACTCAGGGAGCTAGGCATACATATGGGTTGAGTGCTCACTTGTTCTGCAGCTCGGACACTGACTGCACCCGGTTGTGGGTGTAGTGGACGATCTCGGCGAAGAGCAGGGCGAACAGGCTGAGATTCACTTCACCCTTGCCTCTGCTCAGTGAACGGTCCAGGATGCACGCCTTAGGCTTGGAGGACATCATGGTGCTAGAAGCCGGGCAGCCTTCAGCAGCCGCTCACTGTGTGGTGCATGGGCTAACTGGAAACAATCAAAGGCATATATAAAAATTTGACAACTGATCTGCACCATGTCTAAGGAACATTATGCAGGGCATCAGCTTGTGCCACTGACCAAAAGCCTTGTACATCGCACAAAGCATGCTGGCATATGCACAGCCTGCTGTACTGGGCATACTAACTTGCCATCTTTGTTCATATTCAGTTCATCAACAATGCCGTCCTACTCTTTATGTTAATATATTGCCCATCATACAGAAAACCGTCATCCATCAGCATTCTTGCCTACAGAGCTCAATGAACACACCAAGTGGGAGCTATGCTGAGATTATGCCACAAAGCAGGCGTTATGACCAGCGACACGATCGCCGAATCAAGCAGTCGCCTATCAGCTTTATTGGACCTGGCAGCATTAGGTGGCCAAACCAAACACCGCTCTGGAACAGCCACACCAGCTTCACTGGAGTCGACCACTGACAAGCAAAGACAAGGTTGACTACAAAATGCTGGCAACTGACAAGAACCAGAAAAACGTAAAAGCAGAAAGAAGTGGGAATTTCCTGGGGGGTGGATATCCACAATAAACCTTCTCATCACTTTGCTACAGGAAGTGTGGGAATTGATGATAGCATTTTGAATCCAGTGAAGTACAGCATAAACAAAATGACTGTTACCAAATGTTGCAAAAGGCTAAAAAAAGCCTCAACCAGTGTGTGGACCTAAGAGCAATCACTTCAAACAACTACTTGGAGCTCACTTCCTTTATTACCAAGGCCTGATGTCAACTATTTTGTCCAACAGCACTGAAGAGACACCCAGTGACAGACTATTGCATACAGTGGACAGCAGAAATCATATTGCATGCAAGGTGAGAAAGAAAAAGCTTTGGCATAAAGCCTTCTTCATTTAATGATAAACCAGCCTCCAGACCAAAGCACTGGTATATAGTGCAAGACATTCCAGTCCCCATCCTATGAAACAAAACTGTGTGGGCGTGATAGTCAACAGCCATCCCTTTCTAGTTGACATGACATCATCTCCCTACACTGTAATATACCTTGGGCTCTCTAGCTGCCAACAGGCCCTTTTGAACATACATCATTCCTCGATTTCACCTCATTTGGATGTGATGTTGAGTTTCATTGAGGAGGCATTCATGAGCTATTTCTGGACCCATCCCCCCAAACAGCAATGGTGCAAATTGGTTGGGAACAGATTAACCAGGCTGTCCTCATTCTGTGGCCATGCAACTGGCAGCCTGTCATTTAGAAAAACCGGCAATATTGGCCAGTTAGGCAATAATTCTATGCAGTCATTGTCATGTCACTAGTGCTAACAGTCAGTCATTGTACACATACCTTTTCAATTCTGTCTTTCAATTTTTCAACTCTATTTGGAGCCATTTACCAGCAGCAGCAAGAGCTTGTAACAAAACAGAATGTCAAGCACTTTATTTAAACTTCATAGGTCTAACAGCTGCCACAAGCCTATAATCATCCTTCTCATACTGACTTTGTCCAGATTTCCATCTTGGTCATACCTGGTTTAAATAATAAAGCAACAAATGTATAAACCCCAAAGGAAATGCATGCATTGGTCTGCACACACTCCTTTGGGCCATAAGCTGGATTCTGGCAACAGGACTGGAGTAAGGGAACTAAAAGAGCTGGTAAGCCCCCTCCTAAAAAGCATCACTGAACATTCTTTGGGAAACCTTGATTTTGATACATACAAAGTGCTTCACTAAAAACAGTGTGCATCTAAGTTATGCTACAAACAAAATGTGGGTGTGGCTTTAATAACCAAAAATTGTAACACACATGTAAACACATGTTCTCATCCTGGGCATGGCACACATACAGTTGGTTAGGATCAGTCAGCTCAAATCATGCTTATCTGCTTCCAAATATTCATGATTGTCCCCATAATCTGTGATTCCGATTACCAACAGAGGACTGATTACATACAAGCAGTCAGTAGGCACGCGCCAGAAGCTCTCCGAAAGATCCCAGCATACTATGAACATGGGATACTATGGGACTCTGCATCTGGCCTTCGGATCCAGGCACATGCCTCCTTAATATGTGTCTAATCATCAATCATGACGCCACTTATATTACCCTCTTTTGACAACTACTAAGCACACATCTTACAAAGTGGTTCAACACATCATCGAGAATATTTAGTACGAATTCTTGCTAAGCGGGGAAGAGTGTTTAGTACCGATTTTTGCCAACATCGGCGAGGTTTAGTGCGCCTAGACACTAGGAAATGAGGCTGTTGAGAGGTGGGCATTCTGAATTTGTTTTCGTTCGATGGGAGTGGATAACTTTCACGATTTTGGGATCCAATTCCCATTTGAATACGAGTTGGACGACGCAAGGTCCGTCGGTTGGTGGTATGTGGGGAGCATGGGGAAACGGTCAGGAAACGTGCCTGGATAAATTCTTGCACGTACTTTACACAAAAGCGTATGAACGTTTCAAAAAGTGGAGGGGGCCAAGCTCGGGGCGTTCTTCAGAAACTTTTTCTGGAAAATAAGCCCGACGACCGGGGGGGGGGGGGGAGGGTAAAGAAGGAGGTTATCTCTCTTTATTCAGATGTAATGACTACTATTCTAGATTTGCGTCTAGAGCTGTTTCTCATTGATGCACACTCTTGCCTTTACGACTCATATGTCATTCGGGAAATAAGGCTATCCAGCTTCCCAAGATTATTCGTTCATTTCAACGTCATCTTTCCTGGGGAGCCGAAATGCGACGAGCCGGTAGGCATTTCGGGTCAATGAGTAGGCATCCGTCTCCACAAGGTAGATGCCAGAATATGGTCTGAGCATACGCCTGTGAGAGTTTTGAACGTGAATCGATCGCTCACAGTACAGCTGATTTTGCATGCGCCTTCATTTTGCTGGCTGCTTTTCAAAAGATAAGATTTGTCCCGGCATTTTAGGTGGATACAATTCGGAAGCTTGAAACTGCCAAAGACCGTGTGACAAAAGCCTTAGAACTTGAGATCCTCTTTGAAAGCCAAGCTACAGAATGAAGGCCATTCTGTCATATATTCATTGAGCTCTGCTCCCATCCGCCGTCGGTGGCCATTGTCCTGGCCCGGCTGTCTCCGAATGACTGACCGCGAACTGGTGGTATGGCTGCTTTGTTGCACATTTCTGGAGCAGCATTGCTACTAATCGGAATTTAAAAGATGTGCTGGACGCCTGCGTTAGCACCTTTTTCTGAATGATCTTTCCTTACACCACACCACCCCAGAAAAATGCTGCCGGGAAGCTGCCCATTTATCTACTTTATACTATATATGAATTGACCCAACGGACATTTAATTGCCCGTCATTCAACGAAGATGACTCGATCTGCTTTTGTGTGTAGGCAGGGGGCAGCCAGGGCCTTGCTAAGGGGAACAAAGGGTTGACTTAAGCCTCCATTATGGTGACTTCCCCCCCCCCCTCCCCACAAAAAGATATCCCAGATATAGTTTACTTGTTAACGAGGAATACGGTTTTCTTTGTTTCATTGCAAATTTTTACGTTGTAACCAGAACAGAAACCAGAAGGTACCGTGAAATCAATTCAGTTTACATTTTTAACACGCGCCCGGATGGCCGGCCAGATACCGTTTGCTCGGGTGGGGAGTTAATTTGACCCCCCTGACCGCCCTGAGTTCTCGGGAACTAAGAGAGCTAAAAACACCAGATTCATAGTGGGTGTGGACCAGTATGTGAACTCACTTAGGTCAAAGTTTGAGGTTCCTAGGCTATGACTTTCGGGTCAAATAAGGCCAAACAGTCAAACCCCAGGCTGGTCTCTAACGTGCCTCAAAACCTAGATAACTGTTTCTAAGCAAAAGGTCTCATGTTCATCTAAGGTTAATGACCTTGGTTGACCCTTTAACTATAATGGTGACCAGCATCATACACGATTGCTTTGAGCTTGTCACTTGAATAAGCGACAAAGGTCACGCTAGGTGGTAAGTTTTAGAAAACAAAATGTTGACCTAGGTCATTTTAGGTCAATAGCCTATTCTGACCTCTGAGAAGTCCATGTAAGATATATAATGCGGTTCCTGCTATCAATAAATTCAAAATGAGCACCAGAAACTGTTCCACACAACAGCAAGCTCTAGAGTAATAAAACAGGTTGATTTTGACCTTGGTCTGACCTTTATACCTGACCTTCGGTCAACGTTATTTTCTCATTCAATATTTCTGTTGCCTAAGAAAACATCTCGGAGATGTATGGTTTCGTGTAACACTTCCTTGTTGCATCAGATTGAACGATTTCCTAGAAGCTGACTTCGCTGAAACCATGGCCTGACTTTGACCTGCCATAGGTTAGCGACCCTGCAAGGTAAATCTAAATTGTTGATACCAAATGATCCGCTATTCAATTTTCTACAACTATGCAAAACATGGCGGGGCTGTACCGCGCCTTTCGGAGACCATTCTGGAAAAGCCTACGGGGAGCGAGTCAATTTGACCCCCCACCCGAGCGTGTGGTTAGGTCAATAAACTGCAGAAATCAGGCGTTTAACGACTGCATTGAACAAATCACCGGTGTCCTTAATTTGCCATGGCTTAGTGAACTTTTTTTAAGCCGACGGAATTCAGAAGCTTTTTCCATAATGTTTTACTGCGCTCTACAAACATTGAGGACATGGCGAAAGTAGATCGTATATTGATATGTTTGATCGAAATTTGAGCGTAAAAATTTTGATTGTAGATCGAGTTACCTTTAAACACTTCAATTGGTTACTAAGAAAAGCTAGGTAACATAATTCTCAGCATGCATACTCGCAAATCTTAGAGACAAAAACATCGGTGCCAGGTGTGGCAGTCTCCGCAGGCCGCGCTGCGTCGACTCAACAACTAGTACTGAGCCGTGGCCAACGGGTGGACGAAAATGATGACGCTTCTGAAAGAAGTATCTTTGAACGCTTCAGGACACCAAATCTTACATGCATAAGGCAGTCTGGGCGCATATTTCACGTGCACGATTTTTAGACTGATGATAAGAACAGATTAGCCCTTAAAGCGCCGCGAAGTGGTGCTAGAATCTGGCGGTGGAACTGGAGGAGCAAAAGAAGATTTGCTATTTTTCGTGTTTTTGTAACTATTCATCTGTCCAGAGAACAGATTAGCACAGCGCCCACCGTCTGGGGCACTTCCAGTGGCCGACGCCGTTCGGTTTTACGGAAGCTGCGACCCAGACCATCGCTGTCATCGCTGTCGATGTTGCGGGTAGGTATGTTCAAACCTTTGGTGCACTTTTTCATTAATCCATTCTGAAAACTGAACGTTCTTACGCAAACATGGGATGGCCTTGCTGTTTTGTTTTAATTCCTTTCCACCTACTCTATTCAACAATAATGAAACATCTACCCTACTCAACAATTATGAAGCCCCTTATTCCTTCCGGACAAGGTATGCTTTGAGTAGAACACCAAGGACACATTAACGGTTCCGGTCAAGAGCTGAAGGGCGATTCCGTCCCATCGCGAAGCATCTTCTGGCTGTCATTCTAGCGACACGGGGCGGGATCTCCTGGTCGATTCGGAGGCCATTGACGGGATATATCATATCACATTGCTCCCCTCCCTGATACGGAAGGCCTTCTGACCCGCGCAGTTGGTCCCGGATCAGCACAGGAACCCTCATTTACGCGACCACATCCGTGATCGCCAAATGTGGTCCAATAATTGTCAAACAGGCTTCAGTTCCATGCCTCTCTGTTTTCTTCAGAGATATTGAGAAATCCCTGAATATACATTGTAGATGAAATGGGGTCCTAAGCTTGCATTGACATGGCTAATCCACGTTCGTCTTAAAATGTTCAAGATTCAGTCAGAACTGTTTACTGATAAAACACTGTGTAAAATGGTTTTGAACATACACGCTCACAAGTCATAGCAACAACAGGCTGAACGCCCGGCGTTGCAGTCTCCATAGGCCGCGTGGCGTCGGTCCTGCGGCTGTGACATTAAGTGATGGCCAATGAGCAAACAAAAAAGATGATGCATCTTGAGGAAGATGGCTTGTGAACTAGGTAAACCGGCATGTATATTTAAATGTGGTGCAAAATTAAGCTAAACACAGCCTTAATCTGAAAAGTGTGAGGGGGGGGGCAGCTAACAATGCTGCCCCCCACTTTTCAAAGTGGGGGGCCATGGCCTCCTGCCCCCCCCCCCCCCTGTTCCTACGCCCATGAATTTACAGGAGGGTGTTACCTACCGCCTGAGTATGATATTGATATATTTTGGACTACGGAGCCTTAGAAAAGATTGGTATCCTGGCATTGCGGAGAATAGGATACTAGTCTCGAGATGTGGTTAGCATCAGAGTTGGTTGACTTAAATGTGTCGAGTCAGCTCCGGACTGGCTCACAGATTATGGAATCTGATTCAGCTCGTGACTCAGTTGTTCCATTTTTCATTTGACTTGGTTCAGACTGGCCCAGCCAGCATGTTCAACTGGGACCCATAAGGGTCCGAGATGGGCAGTCATATGGGGCCCATCAGTGCTGCCCACTTCGGTCCCATGTAGGCAT